AAATAATTTCAAAAAGTTCAGAACTTGCTCGTAACCATTTAAAAGCCATTATTATTATTATTCATAATCTAAACCAACGAACCAACGAAAAATCCACTCGACCTCCGAAAGCAGCATCATCATCCCTACGCAGCACCACTCTCGAGTACTCGAAATCCGCATCCAATTCCGCACCATCGCCCATGCAGTTCTCCACGCTGATCGGATAACGCTCACGACCCGCACTCAAATCCCTTCAAACACTCCAAATTCCAGCTTTCAAATCAACCAAATCAACCATTCAAATCAATCATGATTTAATGCCACATAATGCCACAAGATAAAATACCAGATCTGCATATAAACACATACAAACCAACCTCGTAATATATCTGACTGGATCAGCAGGCATCATTCGTCTCAACTTTAACTCTGCCTGCAGATGACGCTCAATCAAGCCACCCATTGCGTCACGTGCTGCTAATGACTTCATATTGCTGCTGCTGCTGCCGCTGCTCAACTCTATACCCTCAGGTGATGCGCCATTCTCTAGATACAGCCTGAAATTGCTCTGAAACTCGCAAACTCACAACTCAGAAAATTGCTGCCTGCCCCTCGTTCTCAATAATAATAATAATGAATTATTGAGAAGCAATGGCAGCAGCAGCAAAGTGCTAAGCACCACCAACCTGACTAGCTCCCAGTTCCCGGCTTGAAAAGCTATCTGTGCTGCCGTTTCACCATCGATATTTTGCAAATCCAAATACGCTGATGTGCTCATGTGCTCACTAGTCGACAATATTACTTTAGCCATCTGAAAGAATTACTTCAAAAACTCAAAAAAATTACTTTACTTTTCCAGCAGCACAGTACAGCACAATGCAGTACTCACCTCTAGACTAGTAGCTGCATTTCGAGATCTGGCCAATAGATGCCAAATAGTCTCGTGTCTCGCATTCAGCTCACAGATATTCACCATATTCGTCTGCATAATCACCTCAACACCCTCTGGGTCACTGTCTCCGGCCGCCATCGACATTACTGCCTCGTGAAACAACATCGTCATTACGTCACGCTTGAAACGGCAGCAATTTTTATAAAAACTTGCAAATTAGCTCATCAGACAGCCTTTCAATGGGTAACCAA